AGTACAGCTGCACAGAGTTTTAGGAGAGAAGCTGTATACAGAATCTTGTGCCACCCACTGTCTAGACAAGGGGTATCCTTGCTGCCACTGCCTCTGGAAAACAGAGGAGAGGGGTTCTAGAAAGGACCAGCATCTCTGCATTTTCCCAGTGCTCAGTGAGTGTCTTGCACGTAGAAGCACTCAGTAGCCTTCTGAATGGAGGGGGTCAGTGTAGTGAAGTCACTCAGGGATGAGGTAGATGGTCCTGCAGCTTAGTTGGGCTTTATCAAGCCAAGGCAATTCTCTCAAGCACTGAAAGTTGAGTTGGATGATCTGGGTTTTCACTGCGGTTTTATCACCAACCTTCTATATGGCTTGGGACAAGTGAGTTTCTCTGTGTACTGATGAGGACATTGGATGAATTGACCCCTAAAATTCTGCAATTCTGAACTTTTCCCATTTTCTGCTTTCTAGCTGGGTGTAGAAAGCTGACTTTCAAAGGAAAAGACCTGGGGGTGGGGGCATATTTTATTGTCTACATGGCCTTAGCTTTCCAGGCTCTTCGATTGTCCACTCAGGTGGTCTGTCTCCCCAGGGCCTCTGGCAGGACCAGGACGATAATGGCTTCATGCTCACAATGTTCAGGCAAGTCCCCACCCCCACCTTGGCCTCTTTAAACAAAACCAGGCTTTACATATGAGTGTCGTGGGGAACTGTATTTACTTCCTATTGCTGCAGTAACAAATCACCACAAATTCCATAGCTTAAGGAAAAAAAGATTTATTCTCTTATTTCTGGAAGCCGGAACTGCAAACCATTCTCAGTGTATCTAAAGTCAATGTGTCCATGGGGATATTTTTTTTTTTTTTTCCTGGAGGCTTTTCAGGAACATATGTTCCCTTGCTTTTTAAATTTTCTAGTGGCTGCCTATGTCTTCTTGGCTTACAGCCTCTCCTATTTTCAAAGACAGCAGCGTAGCATCTGTCTTTTCTGATACCTACTTCTATCCCTACATCTTCTCCCTCTGACTCCCATCTTCCTTCCTCCACCTTGTAAGGACTTTTGTGATTATACAAGGCATACTTCCATAATTTCAGAATGATCTTCTTTCAACTCAAAATCCTTAATTTAATGACCATGACAAAATCCTCTTTACCAGGTTCTGATAAACCACCACCCCACCCCAAGTGTGAAGCAGTGTGCTGGAAAAATGCAGGACTCTCTAATACGGCTTACGGCTTTCTTTTTGAGAGCTTGATTTTTTTTTTTTAGACAAATGGGGATAGCAACATTTTAATCTGGCTCTGAAATGTGTTTTGTACTTGGATTTGAGTGTGGGTGTGCCTCATGTTCTGAGGACTCTCTTCAAACAAAACAGTAAAACAACCCATGAAGAAGATGTACTATGAGATCACTGTATGCATCTAAAGGTCTCCCTCTGTCCCTCCCTCCATCCCTCCCTCCCTCTGTCCCTCTCCCTTTGTTTTTTTGTGACAGAAGACTCACGTACTCAGTCTGTCTTCAAATTCACTATGTAGCCAAGGCTAGCCTTGAACTCCTGATCATTCTGCCTCTACCTCTCAAGTACTGAGATTACAGGTATGCACATCACCAAGCCTGGCCAGGTTACTAACTCTTACAGGCCAAGAATTTTAGGGATTTTTTTGTTTTGTTTTTTCATTTAACAAAATAGTCTTGGGACTGGAGAGATGGCTCAGCAGTTAAGAGCTCTGACTGATCTTTCAGAAAACCCAGGTTCAGTTCCCAGCACCCACATGGCAGCTAACAACTGCCAATAACTCCAGTTCCAGGGGATCCAACACCCTTTTCTGACCTCTGCAGGCATTCACACATGTGGTGCACTTACATACATGTAGGCAAAGCACTCATACACATAAAATATAAACTAATTAATTAAAAAGAAATAGTATGCCTTTTTCTCACCTAAGATTTTGGTTTAAAAGATAATCAGTGCTGATGATTCATGGGGTATCACTTCTGCTTAAGGTTGAAGAAATATGGGACAGTAAGAATGATAAGACAGAGCAGAAGTTAGGAAGAGAATCTGGTTCCTGGATGGCAAAGTTCCATAACCAGACCATGGCTGACCTGCAAACATTCTGCATGACTTGGCTTTCCTAGGTGGGGAGATGGCTTTTCCTCACATAGCCTTTCAAAGTCAAAAGAACTCCTACCCCAGCAGAAGCTCCCTCTAGCCTAGTCTAGAACAGAAGTTTAGAACATACAGCTGACTTTTCTAGGAAAAACAAAGCCAACTTTTTCTCTCTTGGTCATGGAAACCACATTGACACCTCATTAACGCCTTGTTAGTAAGAACAGTCTTGAGTGGTGAACAAACCTGGAAGAGCTGGCCTGTGTGGACAGGGTTTTGAGTTAAGCTTAATTACTCTTCTAGAGCTCAGCTACTTAATACTGCACAAGTCAAAATCGTCCATCAGAGGGGATCGTCCCCTTCTTTCAGTTATTCTTGCCTGAGTAGACAGTAGCATTCCCCCCTGCTCTACTGCTGTTACGATTGGTTCTGTGCTGCCCTACGGACCCCAAAGCTTGGCTACAACCAGTACAGCCCCACAGAAAGGGAAAGCTCTATCATACATTAGCCTGTTCTTTCCCCAGATCTCACAATGTGGCCAGCCTGCTTTGCCCTCAGAGCTCAGCATGGCTCCTAAGCAGGTGTGTCAAGAAGAACTTAAGAGTTTTTGATTTCTCACACAAGTGGGAAAGAGTAGTGAAGACGTTTTTTATCTGGCTCTGCAATGTGCTTTGTTCTTGTAAGAGTGGGTTGTGCTTCATGTTCTGGGATCTCACTTCAAACAAAATTAGGCAAACAACTCAGGAGGTTGTACTCAAAGAGGGCTGGGAAACTCCTACTTTAATTGCCAGGTGCTTCTGCTTTTCAAAGCCGGGTTGGATTTTGAATCTCATGAGCTTACCACCCTTTCCTTAGCAACAGCAAGTGTTCAGAAACAGGGTACTAATCCTTCTGAGCTGTAGGTTCTTGCCTTGCAAAACTGGGATGAAAATTACTGATCTCATGTGACCCTTAAGATCACACAGTTAAACACTGGTCACAGGAGCATCATTGCCGTAAACTGAAGCAGTCTATCCCACCCTTTTCCTCCTACCTCTTCCCACCTCCTGCAAGGCAAACAACCTCAAAGGAGCCCCGAAGTTGAAGCAGCCAGAGGGGTGTGATGCCCCACACAATTCCCTGTCTCTTTTTCTCTTCACCCAAATCTCCCTACCAGTCCTCCCTCTCTGCTTCATTGTTGTTGAACCTTTACTGCACAGTGCCTGTGACAGCAGAAACCAAAGTGTCCCAGCTGTGCATTCCCTCTCCTACCTCCCCCTTCATAAGCAGACTGATGATGCAGCCTAGCTGGTCCATAACAATCCAGACTTAAATTTCACAGTCTTGTTTTTCTCACTCAAATGTCCTGGAATTCCAGTTCACCAATATCTCAAACACATTTCCTGATTACACCTGCTTCCCATAAGGAGAACTTAAGACCCAGAAAATATGGTTTACCCAAGAGCCTCGGCTGTGGTAACAGACTCTCTGAGAAAGTCTGTCCTATTTATAGACAATACATTTTCATTTGGTCCAGAAAACATAATAGCCAACCAACACAGATCACAAGAAAACATGACCAGTAGAATTCCTCTGAACCTCTCAAAAGATTCTGGAGACCTGACCAATGCCTACTACTTCAAATTTAGTTTTGTTTTTTTTTTTTCATTTGTAAGATTTTTTTGGTTATTGCATATACTGCTTGGGTGTAAGAGCTGGGTTGTTATTCTTGGATGTGGAATGAGGACAAGGCTGAAAAATGTGCCCGTCATAAATGTGCATACAGTTCGTTCTGAATGCAGATTTGAAACTTTTTTTTTCCTCCAGCATTGGAGCGTATGGATTTTTTCATGCCAGTAAAGTGATTTTTTTTTTGTATTTTGTTTTGTAAATGGTAACTTTACCAAATTCAAGATGGTGTTTATCATTGGCAATGATGGGGTATGGATGGTGGTGGAGAGAGAGATATAAGGGGTGTTATCATGATGGGATGATTTCTATCTTAGATGTAGAGCTGCATAAAAATTTTTAAAATTATTCTTGTGTGTGTGTGTGTGTGTGTGTGTGTGTGTATGTGTGTGTACATACATGCCATGGTGTGTGTATGGAGGGCAGAGGACAACTTGCAGAAGTTTCTTTCTAACATATGGGTCCTGGGGATTGAACTTAGGTTGTCTTGCTTGGTGACAGGTGCATTTACCCAGGGAGCTATCTCATTGGCCCTGGGCACAACTTTTTGAATGAACTTATATGAACTTATATGTTACAATAATGAAGTAAACAGTAATAATAAATGGTTAGTTAATGTTTTGTTATATAGATATATCAAAATTTACTCAGCTAGAGCTGTTTTTAATTTTCAACTATTAAATAATGTCATGGCAACATTTTTAAGTATTAAGTTTGATCTTAGTATAGATTTGCACAATTGAATTATTGAGTGAAAGAATATGATATAATGAATGCATATTCTAGACTTTACCAAAGATGTGTGAGTTTAGACTATAATTGACATCATTTCTGAGACAGGGTCTCCATATGTAATCTGGACTGGCCTGGAACTTGCTATGTAGATCAGACTAGCCTCAAACTTAGGATAATCCTCCTGCCTCAGCCTCTTGGTAGACTGATTGGTAGGATTACAGGTGTGAGCCACACACCTGGCTGACATAGGTTTTTCTACTTGATCTCTCCAATATGCAGAGTCTGTTTTTTTTCATATTGATAATTTCGCTAGGCAAATACTTGTTTCTAATGGTTATTTCTAATTACCGAGGAGTCTGAGAATTTTTTTAATAAGTACTTGTATATAGGTCCTATGAAGGAGGGTCTTGTTTACATAGGAAAAGAGGGCGCTGCTAGGCGGAAACAGACCCTTGCCCCCTCACTGAAACCCAGTGGTACATCTGGATCTCTTGTCTCCCTGCAGTGCCGCCAAGCTCCTGGACAAGAACCCCTTCTCAGTCAGTAACCCGAACCCTCTCCTCCCTTCACCTGCCAGTCTCCAGCTGGCCCAACTACAGGCCCAGCTCACCCTCCACCGGCTGAAGTTAGCACAAACAGCAGTCACTAACAACACTGCAGCCGCCACCGTCCTGAATCAAGTCCTCTCCAAAGTGGCCATGTCCCAACCTCTCTTCAACCAACTGAAGCATCCATCTGTACTCGGCAGCCCCCATGGCCCTACTGGGGTTTCCCAGCATACTGCCACCATACCCAGTGCCCGATTTCCCTCAAATGCCATTACCTTTTCACCCCCCAGCCAGACACGAGGCCCAGGACCTTCTGTGAACCTCCCCAGCCAGCCTGCTAATGCTGTGGTAGTACATCCCTTTGGTGGGGTGATGCCTCAGACCCCCACCCAGCCAGCAGTCATCCTGGGCATTGGGAAGGCGGGGGCTGCACCGGCTACCACGGGATTCTATGAGTATGGTAAAGCCAATCCTGGCCAGGCCTATAGCTCTGAAATGGACAGTCAGCCAGGTTTCCTGCCAGCCTCAGCCTCGGCCTCAGGCAGTGTGACCTATGAAGGCCACTACAGTCACACAGGGCAAGATGGCCAAACTGCCTTTTCTAAAGACTTCTATGGACCCAGTACCCAAGGGTCACATGTAGCAGGTGGATTTCCAGCTGAGCAGACCAGGGGCATGAAAGGGGAAGTCGGGGGACTGCTGCAGGGCACAAACAACCAGTGGGAGAGCCCCTCTGGATTCTCCGGTCAAAGCAAGCCTGATCTTACAGCAGGATCCAACCTGTGGCCTCCACCTCCCAGCCAGCCCTATGAACTATATGACCCCGAGGAGCCCACTTCAGATAGGACCCCTCCTAACTTTGGGGGTCGGCTTAACAACAGCAAGCAGGGGTTCACTGGCTCTCGGCGGCGGGCAAAGGAGGAGCAAGCGATGCTGTCAGTGAGGCCCCTGCAGGTTCATGAGCTCAACGACTTCCATGGCGTGGCCCCACTCCACCTGCCGCACATCTGTAGCATCTGTGACAAGAAGGTATTTGACTTGAAGGTGAGTCACCCAAGACGGGCTGGGAGCCAGAGCTGGACTCAGGATGTTTGTCCTTTACCCCTGCTAGGGTCATGTCACCCAGGTGCATCCCTGTGACTTCAGTGTAAGGAGGAAGTCCTCTGGGTTGGAGGATGGAAGTTTGCCATCAATTCCTTTTATTAAAATCACAGGTAGTAGGACCCAAAGGAATTTCAGAAATTTGTCAGGGTCCTTCCCTTGCTTTAGGGCAAATAAGAGATTTCTTCCTTTATTTACAGCTGAGTAAGCAAGAGGGTAACCCTGCTTCCCACAGGGGGAATTTTCTTCCGTGGAAAGCCTAGAAGCTATAGTTCCTCCAGTACAAATGTTGTACTGAGTTTGAAAGGGGGTAGTGGTGGAATTTTGGATCCCAAGCAAGATGATCATACAATGAAATATTTCAAAGCAATAATAATTGCAATAAGTAATATATTAAACCCTTTCTGTGTGCCAGTGGTTAACTATATGAGATATTGTTTTGTTTTTTTTAAATAATTGTTTGGTTTTTTTTTTCCTTGGGGGGTGTTCTAAACACATACCTTTAATTTTTGTACAGAGATGTTAGAATGTTTCTGTTCTCCTTGAAGCCTGAAGCATAGGGACTGGTTCCTCCTCTCTTCCATGTATCTCCCTGGAGTACCTGGATAACTAATCCTGGTGATCTAATCTTTTTTCCCCAACTTTTACAAAAACTTTATTGAGAATTTCATACATGCATATAAGTGTTTTGATCAAATCCATGTCCACTCCCTCCCCTCCAACATTGCCCCCCTCTGAAGAGGTAAACCTAAAATCTTTTAAGGATTAGATACAAGCTCCCAAATACTTTTGACATTTTAACATTTTGGGCCTTTGGAACAGAAATAAAAAACAATAATTGTTTGTTGTTTTTTGAGGCAATGTCTCATGTAGCTTAGGCTGATCTTGCACTCACTATGTAACTGAGGCTGGCCTTGACCTGACCCTCCTGTCTCTGCTTCCTGGAATGCTGGGATTATAGGCATTGCAGCACCATACCCAGCTAAGGAAAATATGTTATTATCCTCATTTTACAGATGAGAAAATTAGGGCCCAGAGAAATGAGATGATTGGACCAGGCCACCTAACTAGAAAGTGACAGAGTAGTGGTTCAAACATGGGTGTGACCCTCCCTGAGACTGCTATCCCTTTCCCATCTGATTCAAGAATATAATACAGTCCCTCCTTAGTGGGAGTCCCAGCACAGGATATCCTTCACCTCTACTAGGGTCATGTCACCTAAGTGCATTCCTGTGACTCAAATGAGACGCACTTTCCAGTCTCTAGTCTACATGTTGGGGCAGGGCAGTGATGTTAGGAGGTACTGGAGATCTTTGTCTCTCACAGCCTTTTCTGAGACTTCACAACTCATTGTGCATCTTCAGACCAGAGAGAAGTGGGTGGGGTCTCTCTGTGGAGAGGAAGAGTGGGAGGCAGGAGGTGAGTTCAGGGGTCCACTGAGAAGCAAAGAGGAAATCTGACTTTCAGGTCTGGGCACCTGTCCAAGATGGGTGCAGGGTATAAATACAGATAAGGGACTGACAAGAGAGATTGAGAGAAAGCAGTACCTAGGAGAGTGGGTGTAGGGGGCGGAGGGAGCAGGAGATGGAGATGTGGTATCATAGTTGGTCCAACCTGTGGACACCCCATGCATCCTGCCTGGCTGGTGGTAACTGCCTTTGTCCTCTGCCTCCCCATGTACTCAGTTCAACTTGGATCCTTCTCTGTCCTTCTGATCTAGGACTGGGAGCTGCATGTAAAAGGGAAGCTGCATGCCCAGAAATGCCTGCTCTTTTCAGAAAGGTAAGTGTTGGAGAACAGGTCTGTGCATGTGCTTAGCAAGTGTTCAGTGAGCATTGGGAGTTCTCTGTGCTGGGCATAGGGAAACCAGAGAATCAAGGAGGTGAAGAAGTGCTGGTCCTCAAGGAACTTCTGCTTAATGAAGACAATGATTCAGAAATGATGACAGCATTCCTGATGTGAACACTGAATGATGCTAGAAGAGGTGACAGGTGTGCATGTGTGCACATGGGCTCTGAGGTGGTTCCTGCATTACAATAGGGCAGCTGGGCAAGACCTCATTGCAGACACCTTAGGAAGTCGTGGCTGTCTAGGGGAAGCACACTCCTGCTAGATGGAACAGGATTTGAAGGTTTGAAGGCCCTGAAGCTGTTATAGACCTGAGATGCCAGACAACATCCAGTGTGACCAGAACAGAAAGACAAAGTACCAGAACAGAAAGCCAAAGAGGTACCAAAGCCCAGATCCTGAGCCCTGGGCTATTGGGGAGACTTTGAGTTTTGTTGTGTGATTGGAGCTGGTGGGGGCTTGAGCAAAAGAGTCATACATGCAGATCCCACTGAACTACCTGACTACCACACTGAGAACAGGTAAATAGGGTAAAGGCGGGCCTAGAGACTTGTGAGGTGGTGAAGAGGCTGTTTCACCCAAGGATGTAGAACAGACAACTGGGATTCAGTGTTTTGCAATGAACACACTCAAAAGGACTCCTGGTATTATTCACAATAACCAAAAAGTGAAAGCAACTGGGAGGCTCATCAACAGAAGAATGGATAAACAAAATGCGGTCTGTCCACACAATGGAACATTATTACTCAGTCTTAAAAAGGAAGGAAATCCTGACAAATAGTACAATACTCTTGAGCTGTAAAATTCCACTCATATGAGACATTTTAGAGGCTAAACAGGGTGGTTGCCAGCTGCTAGGGTTGGTAACAAGTGGAGAGTCAGTGTTTCATAGACACAGAATTTTAGTTTTGTAAGATGAAGTGTTCTGTGGCTAGATGGTGTGATGGCGACCTAACAATGTGACCATATTAATGCCACTAAACTTTGCTCTTAAAAACAGCTAAGGAAGGAGTTGCAGAGATGGCTCAGCAGTTAAGACCATTTGTTCTTGCAGAGGATTTGGGTTCAGTTCCCAGCACCTACATAACTCTAGTTCCAGGGGATCTGATGCCCTCTTCTGGCCTCTGAGGGCACCTAATGGCAGATGGTGCACATACATACACTCAGACTCATGCACATAAAATAAAGTTTTTTTTTAAAAAAACAGAAAATGGCTAAGATGGTATACTTTATGTCATATATAATTTGCCACAATTAAAAGAATTTTTATAGATGCTTCCGTTTTCTGATTCTCTGTCTTTGTTGTGGCAAAACTCACAATTTTAACCATTTTAAAGCTTACAATTAAACAGCATTTAGTACATTCAAAAATTGTGTGAGTATTGCCTCCATCTACCCATTAAATAGTCTATCCCATTTCTCCTGTCCACAGCCCCAGGAAACTACCAATCTCTGTTGATGGGTTTGCCTCTCTTGGACATTTATTATAAATGGAATCATATAATATATGGCTTTTCATGATATTATATAAGCTGTGGCTTTTTAAAGATTCATGCACATCCTAGCACACATAACCAACCTTTCTATGACTAAATAATATATTAATATATGTATATACAAACACATTTTGCTTATCCATTCATCTTTTTAAAAGATTCATTTTATTTTCTGTGTGTGAGTGTTTTGCCTACATGTATGTAAGTATACCACATCCATGCATTGCCCGGGGAGGCTAGAAGAAGGTATCAGATCTCCTAGAACTGGACTCACAGGTGGTTGCGATCTGCCACATGGGTGCTAGGAACCGAACGCAGGCTCGTTGCAAGAGCAGCCAGTGCTCTTTTGGAGGGTCTATACCTAGAAGTGGAATTTTTGAGTCACATAGTGTTTGTTGTTGTTGAACTTAGTGAGGAACTGATTCTCCCTCTCATCCCCTCTCTAGTGCTGGCCTCCGGTGTATACTTACTTCGACAGAGGGGACACTCTGTGCCTCCCCCAACAGCACAGCTGTTTTTAACCCCTCTGGGAATGAAGGTGAGTAAAGGAACCCTCAGATTGGGGTTTGCAGCAGAAATCAGCTGTCCACAAGTTCATTATATCTTGCCTGTGAGAACCAAGACTTCCCTGATATACGCTTTCTGTACATGTCCAGACAAGCAGATCCCAAGCATTAACATGCATTGGGCCCAGCTATCTGCCCGCCACTGTTCTCTGGGATGTTTCAGACCCTCAGCTGCACCAGTTACAGTGAACCTAGAGCTATAATCATGCCAAACACTAATAAATATGGTAGGAGAAAATTTCCAGTTTCCTCTTCTCATGTGTATCCCAATCATGACTTCTGTGTCTGTGCAGGTGCACATATGTATATGTGTGTGGAGGTCAGAGGTCAATCTGGGGTGTGATCCTCGGGAGTTTTCCACCTTGTTTTTGTTTTTTTTTTTTGTCTTTTTGAGACCGGGTCTCCTTGTAGCCCCAGCTGTCCTGGAACTCACTATATAGACTAGGCTGGCCTCGAACTCACAAAGATCTGCCTGCCTCTTGCCTCCCAAGTGCTGGGATTAAAGGCATGCACCACCACGCCTGGCCCACCTTGTTTTTTGAGATAGGGCCTCCCATTGACTTGGAGCCCACAGATTAGGCTAGGCTAGATGACCAGGAAGCCCCAAGAATCTGCCTGTCATATGCCACCACACCAGTTTTTTCTTAGGGGTTCTGGGGGTCAAACTCAGGGCCTCATGCCTGTAAGGCAAGCAGTTTACCAGCTAAGCTATCTCCTAACCCCCAACCATGACTTTTGACAGTAAAGTTTGTGACTGGGTTTTCACTTGGTGTCATTTTTCATTCAGATTATGCCTCAAGTCTTGGGACATCATTTGCGGCCATTCCAACAAGGGCCTTTGCTCAGTCAAATCCTGCATTTCCTTCAGTTGCCTTGGGGACAAATGTGAGTATGAAAGCCTTTTATCCATTGTCATCATCACCACCAAAGTGTTTACATCATCTGCCATGTCTAGGCCTGGAGGTCCAGAGGAGCTTGGGATGAAACTGAGGCTTTATGTCATTTTGAAAAGCATCTCTAAATAGAGGCCAAGGGATAGTCCAGCCATCCTGTCAGTATTGAAACAAGCTCATTAAAATGCTGCCCTAAGTTCTTTTGTTATTTGTTGAGACAGGGTCTCTCTGTATAGCCCTGGGTGGCTTGGTACTCACTATGTAGTCCAAGCTAGCCTCAAACCCATGGCAATTCTCTTGCTTGAGCCTCTCAAGTGCTGGGATTGTAGTTGTGCATCACTGTGCCTGGGTTTCTGCCATAAATTCTCACAAGCAATGGCATTTATTGACTTCTAGCAATGACACCAATTTAGGGGAGAAATCCCTTGTGCATATGCATATATATATATATAAATATCCAAAATTCACATATATATATTCATATATATATATGTGAATTTTGGATATTTTATTGCAGTGGATTACTTCTTAAGAGACAGTGATTCGGAAGCTTGAGCCACATAGTGAGAGTGACAATAAGAACTAACTGGTTATTAACCCCAGAGGGAGCTGTTTGGTACTGATGTTCATTTGCTCATTCAGTCAGTCAGTCAGTCTGTCAGTCTGTCAGTCGTCAGTGTGTGAGAGTTGCAGGTCAGAGAACAATTTTCAGGAATCAGTTCTCACCTTCCACCTTATTGAAGTAGTCTCTCGTTTCTTCACCATGCTGCGTCCTTCAGGCGAGATAGCTTTTGAGCTTCAGGGACTCTCCTGTCTCTGCCCCCTCTTCTTGCTGTAGGATTTCTGGGATTACAGATGTATGCTACCACATCTGGATTTTTATGTGGATTCCAGGGACTGAGCTCAGGCCATCAGGCTTTCCAAGATAGTGCTTTTTACCCATTGAGCCATTATCTCCCTAGCCCCATATGCTTTTATTTTTTTTTTCTCTATATATAACATGCACTTGAGTATTTCAGTGCCCTAAAGATCCATCCTTCCTTTTTCTACTGACTGTGACACAACCCCCTTTCTCTCCTTGGTTTCCAGTGTTTTCCTGTTATTTTCCTTCTGTATGCAATCTTCTCCGACCAAGAGAAAGGTGGGTGCAAGATGAGGCAGAATCGGCTGTAAAACAAAATGCCTGGCCTAGCTCTGCTAGAGGGCATCTGTTGAGTGTTTCTGCCCCTGCCTGTTTTTCTAATTCGTGCTGGGAACAGCTGCAGCCTCTTTCAAGAGCTCTCCTGGACAGGCCTCTACATGCAGTCCTCTCCAGGTGCTGTTCTTTCCACGTGTGGTGAGCATCCATGCAAAACATTGGAAAAACAGTAGTGAAGTGCAGCTTCTAGATGCTGGGGAGCAAGTGAGGTTCATGGCCAAACAGGAGACCCACTTAGCCCAGGTTTCTGTTTATCCATCGCCTATGTATGTGTGCCGCTGAGTGGGCAAAGTCCTTTAGGAAAGAGTTCCTGTCTGCAAGCTCATGTTTTGGTCAAAGAGAATTCTCCCTCTCAGAGCCATGCCTAGGTCAGTGATAACCTTGGGTCAGTCTCAGGAGGGGAGATGCCTGGCTTCAATTAGGTCTGTCCTTTGTCTTTAAAATCAGACCCCTGGTAATATGACCTCATGTCCTGCTCCTTGGCCCTTGCTGTTTCAAGGCAGCATGGGCCCCTGCTCTAGGGCCCACACTTCAGGCACTAAAGGGAGAAGACTGTGACCAAGCAGAGGAGAAGCTGAGCTGGGTAACAGGTGGTCTGGGGCCAGAGCTTACATATTGACTCCACCTTGGGGTTTGGGTACAAGATAGAGACTTGGCATCACTTGAGCCCCCTATGGGGGAGGCTGGAAGACATAAACAAGTCAGCTCTGGGATCTGTCCAGGGTCTCATCCCTACCTTCCAGTGCAGACCATTGGGCCTATGGCCTTGGAATCAGACCTAAGTTCAAGTCCTGGAGCCTACAACTGTGAGGCCTGAGGCAGGTCACATCACTTCTCTAAGGTTCTGTTCCTTAAATGCCCATCTTGAATGACTCCCCAAGTGATGGCTTTTGAAGGTAGTATAAATGGCTACTTTCCACCTGGCTTCTAACTTACCTTCTTTTATGCCTTGCATCTTGGAATATCACATAGAGCCTTCTGGCATAGTTCCAGAGGCTGAGAGTGAGGCTCAGGATGGACCACAGAGTAGTCTTGTCTTTTTAAAGATCAAATGGACAATATATGTGGTCCTGTACTGAAGAAGTAACAATGGTTATTACTGAGTAACAAGTCCTTCTACCCAGTTTAGCTACCAAAAGTGGTGGGGAAGTTGTTGTGATCAAGACCAGCCATCTTCCAGCCATGTGACTCTGGCTGAGCCTCAGTGCCAGTGTTCCCCTTGCACCAGTCTGTCTACTAGTCATATCTGCTTCTCCCTACATATTTTGTGATTCCCATGAAAGCACCTTAAATCTCATACAAGTTAGGCAAGCACGATACAAGTTAGGCTTTGCATTCATGATGATCTGACATTTCATGTTATTACTCAAAGGCTCTGCATACTGCTTCCCCCAAATACCTAGGGATGGGAAGTTTATATAAAACATGATGTGTTCTACATAGCTAGCATGGAGGCCCCAGACATTATAAGATGATAATAATAACTATAGCCAACATTTCTATTGTGCTTAATGTATCTTAGCCTTTGTGTTATATAAGCCCATTTAGTCCTCCAGACAACCCTACAGGTGGACGTTTTAAAATTTTTTTTGAGATGGGGTCTCCCTGTAGCCCCAGCTGACCAGGAACTCACTATGGAGAACAGGCTGGCCTCGATCTCATAGAGATCCACTTGCCTCTGCCTTCTGAGTGCTGGGATTAAAGGCATGGACCACCGTGCCCGACTATTATTACCTTTCTTATGCAGTTGAGAGACTGAGGCCTTGTCACCCGAGTTCTCTCAGGGTCCCTTGCTCCTGGCACTATTAGACAAACCACATAACACATCTTTATCTGAATTTTTCATAGTTTATATCTTGGGTAGGGGAAATAGAATAACTTACAAAGGCAAACATCCAGCAGCCCGTTCTGCTCTGTGGCTCTGTGGCTCAGTGGCCTGCCGGTGCTCTGCCCACAGTCTCCATTAGCTTTCATCCATGCCTCATGGGCCTGCAGTTTTGCCCCAGGTCAGTAAATACCCCCTCTCCCGTGTTGTCTCCCGCACCTCACCCCACTGCTGCTGCCAAGATGGTGCTGCTCAGCAGCTCCCTCAGTAGCTGACTTTCCACAGCCAATTCTTGGGAGCAGGCCTCACCCTGGAAGGAAAAAATATGCCTCGGGACACAGGCCTAGAGAAACTTGGTACCTTGCCTAAGGCCACAATGCTGCATGTGGTTTAAAGCCCAAGCATCCTGACTCTGGGAGCCTCACTTCTCACCTCCTAGCCATGCAATCCCACTTTGAGGCTCTCGGAGATCCCCTTTTTGCTATGATTCTTCTCCTTTACAGCTTCTCTCCCTTCTCCTCATGCTTACCCCACAAGCTATTCAGGGGGTCTGAGACTACTTTGGGGGTGACAGGTACTTCCCTGGTCTCAGCCATCCATGGAGCAAGCAGAAGAGGTCAGTCATGTAAGATATCCAAATTCTGTACTGAGACATCTCCCAAGATGAACACAAGCATTCAGAGGGACTTCCTATAGACACTGAAGGAGCTTCTTTCGACTGGTTTTATCACTATGTTTTGTGACATTTTGCTGGTTGCAAGAACCTTCTCAAAGATAGCTGGGGGGAGGAGGTCAAGTACAAAGCTGGTCCCAGCCAGTTCCTGCATTACCAGTGCCTTGATCACTTACTTTCATCCTTCTGTCAAATTCTGGTTTCTAGGTAGCCCTTTCTGGCAAACAGCAGGTGTATCTCTTTTGGAAAACCTGAAATGTAAAAATATTGACAATAGAAGCCAAGCTGAGAAATTGATTTGCTATTGAAAACTCCTTAGCAAGGCTCCTGAAGTCTCAGGAGAGTCCTTCAGAACCATCATTCTGCCTCCTGCTTACAAATCCTGACCTCCAAAGATACGCAGACCATCCAAGGAGGGCTACTTTCACCTAAGGAGACTTAGGCAGGCTCTGTAGAGTACCTGGGAGCTACTTTTGCAGAGTATACAATTTTCTGGCCTTTTCTCCTTACAAAATCTATGCTTACTGGGAAAATTCACATTGAACATCCCCCTGGGAGAGCCCATGGGGGTATAATGAATTTTCCTATGTAAGCCAGCTCAAGCTCTTTTTTTCTGAGTCCATTTATGTAGATCTTTTCAGGAACACATTCTGTTGAGCAAAACCAGTCGTAGCCAGGACTCCACCACTGTGAAACCACTATTGTTTATGGAACAGCAAAACAGTTGCTGCTTTGAAATCTTCCTGTATTTAAGCAGGAGAACAAAGCATAAAGGCTGAAGGATTGAGCATGCAAAACATACCAAACCACCACAAAATCTAAAACTACCACAAAACCATCTGCCATCTCTGCAAACCCTTTGGCAACAGCTGGGCTGAATTTAAACTTGCCTGTCTCTGCTAGAGTCGAAGCCTCTCCTCTCCATGTTTATTTTGACAGAGAAGGGACATTGGGTGACAGTTGTATGTCGTATTTGCTAGTGGTGTATGATTTGTGTGTGTCCCCAGCCCCTCCCACACCACCCAGAGTCCCTAGAGATAGGTGTTGCCTTTCACGTAGGCTGAACCATTTGACAAAGCTGAGGCTGCTTCTTCTTGGCTGTCTGAGTCGTCATAAACAGAGTAATCAGGTTTCTGGAAGGGGCTGTTTGTACCTTCTGAGACCGTAAATAGGTTCCTGGCACCTGCTGCAGACATATTTTATCTGTGATTGTCCTTGTAAAATTGTCTTGTAGTTTTCACAGCCACCTTTGACTTTATTCAGTGCCTGCATCACAGATGAGCCTCTGTGGCCTGG